CATGGCCTCCCGAGGCCCCTGCTCTGCCATGGCCTCCCGAGGCTCCTGATCCGCCATGGCACCCCATCATGGCACTCCTGATCCTGCCCACCCCCCCCTCCCCATTGGATGTTATATGGCGTGAGGACACGCCTTCCGGAGGGGGGCGTTATGTCAGACTTTGTTCCGTGTTTTGTGTGTGTCTTGCTCCCCATGTGCCTTCCTATGCCCATATTTGGTTAGTTTCCTGTTCCTGTCCTGATTGAGTTAATTTGTCCCAGGTGTTTCCCTTGATGTTTCATTGCTCCCAGGTGTGTCTCGTCATCCCCTCCTCCTGTGTGTATAAATAGGGTTCCCTGTGTGTGCTCCAGGGTCCGGTATTGTTCAGGTCATGTTCATGTCATGTCTACATGTATAGCGTGAGTGTTCCTTTGTGTTTATTAAACCCATTTGGATTAATGTACTCCTCGTCTCTCTCCGTTCCTTGCTCCACAGTACGCTCAGCAGTGCACCCGTGACAGTATCACACTATTTAATTTAAAAGTAGTACATAAAAACATGCATAACAATTGCTTAAATTAATTTATATATATTACATAATATTCACTGTATTACAAATTAATTATTTTCACCAAAGTTTGCAAGGTTTGTGAAATTAAATGTTTATTAGATAGGCTATTCAAAGACTTGCGATAAAAAAAGACAAAGCGATATAAATCTGTATGTACTGAATCATGTAGATGAGAAAACATTAGTGTTTAGTACTGATCTTCTACTAATAAAGAAGCAAACGCTGTAATACTTTCCCACAGCTGTTTACTTTGTTTAACAGTTCTGTTTAGTCATTTTATTGCAGAAACAGTAAACTAATGAAGATGGGGAAAAAAATATGATAATTTTAAAAAAATTGCCAAATACCAGCCGGCGAAACACTAATTTTTGTTTTAATTTTATTGCTTATAGATGATTTCAAAGATAATAGAGATTAACTCAAAGCCACAAATTTTGAATTTGTGAGGTCTGTAAGTCAAGTCAAGTCACATTTATTTCTATAGCGCTTTATACAAATTGTTTCAAAGCAGCTTCACATTAATAAACAGGACATTTACAGTGATAATGTTGTAAAATAAATAAAATTTCAGCTGCAAAGTAGCTCTATAGAAGACAATGTCATTATTCAGATCAATTCAGTTCAATGTTGATTCAATTCAGTTCAATAACAGTGTCGATGCTGCAAAATGCAAATTGTTTATCAATTATGAAATTATTTCGATTTTAGAAGACAATAGTGTCAATATTCAGTTCAATTCAGTTAAAGTTTTGTTCTCATCTGACAGTGGTAAAGCAGTTAAATCAATAATATTACTGAATATTTATTGTAGCTTTGTAGTAACATTTTTGTAGGCCTGTAGTTGAGTCTGATAATGTGTTTTTTTTTGCAACAGTACATTGTGGGTTTGTGCAGCAGCTAGACAAATTTGAGAAATGTTTAACTTTATGCAAATGAGCAATCGAGCGTTGAGAAAATTAAGTTATATAATATAGTATATTTAATTATTTATTTATTTAATTTCAATGTTAATTTAATTATTATGTTAGCTATTTATTTAATTATTTTAATTATTTAAACATTTAGAATGTTCCTGTTAAGTGTCAAGAAAATGCATACAATCAAAGCCTTTATTAAAAAAGAGAAAACAAAAAAGAAAAGAAAATTGTGAAAAGTAGTCAAAGAAGTAAAAGCTCATTTGATACGGTAAAATCCCAAAGCCAACCCGTCTTACAGGTGTATGAAAGGTCTATGAAAGCCTGTTTAAGTGCTAACTATTGCTCAACACACACCTCTGCTTGAAAGAAGCTCCTGATCCATCTGCTGATGTGTGATTGCCATGGATAGCACAAGGTTTAATTATAGCGGAAATGTTAGGGGTTCCTGTAAGAGGCATCTGTTAAACACTTAAAGAGCCATAAACGCAGAGGTTCCTACATCATGTCTGTTCAAATCCCCGCTGGATCTTAATGTGTGTTTCTCCATTTCTGCTGCTTTTACGGCTGCAATTAGTCCAGGAGGGTCACAGGTCACTAAAGTGAGGCATTTACCTTTAAATCAAGGCTAATTTTCACCGGGAACAACCTGTGATCCTCTGACAGCCTAATACTGTACGTCCAGAGATACACTAGTCATGGCAGTCTGTATACTGAAAAATCTGGTGTAGAAACTCAGAATTTGGTAAATTTCACAATTTTGGTATTATGTTTTCATATGAAAAACAAAACATTATTTTGCTTCCATGTTGTGATTTTTGGATCATATCTAAATGCATTTTCTTAGAAATCTTCCCATCTTAGTGTAAAGCTCTGATGTTTTCCTTAAAGACAAAGGCGTCAGATCCCAGCAAGGAGTTTGGCAGGTGTTTGCCGTTACGGCAGCAGGCTGGAGTGCTGCTACGGATGGAAGAAAAACAGCAAAGGACACTGTGAAGGTAAATGAGGAGAATTAAACAATTCTACAATGGTGTTTTAGTGCCATGTAAAAAAAAAGTCACAATATTTTGATGATAAAGTCAAAGTTACAAGAATAAAGTCATAGCATCATGAAAATAAAGCCTTATTTGAGATTAAACTTGTAATATTTTGAGAATAAAGTAAAATTTACAATAATAAAGTCTTATATGAATATTCATAGAATTAAATCCAAATTTCAAAATAAAGTAGTAGCATTGAGATTAAAGTTGTCATATTTTGATAATAAAGTAACAATTACACCAATAGTCATAGCATTATGATAATAAAGTCTTGTGCAAGATTAAACTTTAATATTTTGAGAATAAAGTCAAAATTATGAGAATAAAGTTTTATACAAGATTAAACTTTCATATTTTGAGAATAAAGTCATAGCAATACAAGAATAAAGTCTTATACAAGATTGAACTTTAATATTTTGAGAATAAAGCCAAAATTACGAGAATAAAGTCTGAACATTGTGAGATTAAAGTCGTAATATTTTGATAATAAAATAGAAATTACAAGAATAAAGTAGTAGTAATATGAGAATAAAGTCTTATATGAGATTAAACTTGTAATGTTTTGATAATAAAGCCAAAATTACGAAAATAAAGTTGTAGCATTGTGAAATTAAAGTCGTAATATTTTGATGATGAAACAAAAATTACAAGAATAAAGTCTTATATGATATTTAAATCGCAATAGTGAGAATGAAGTACAAATTATGAGAATAAAGTCGCAGTACTGTGAAATTAAAGTCGTAATATTTTGATGATAATATCAAAATGACCAGAACAAAGTTTTAGCAATGATAGAATAAAGTCATAGCAAAATGAGCTTAAGTCGTAATACTTTGAGAACAAAGTTGTGAATGTGAGAATGAATTTTGAGGATAAAGTTGTGTATTTTTTATTTTTTTTTGTAACAAGGATTCAAGTGTACGACGTTAATTTAGTGACATGTAAAAATAATCTAATTTTTGAGACTTAATTTTAATCTCAAATTGTTACGACTTCAATCTCACAATGCTATGGCTTTATTCTCATCATCTTAATTTTGTAACAATTTTTTTTTTTTATATGGCACTAAAATGTCATCATACTGTATAAGTGTCCATATGGCGATTGAGTAGTCATTCAAAACATGGAAACACTGGGTGAATATTCCATCCACAACCTCATATGATATGTTCATTCCTTCTGTGGTTTGGTGCTTTTAAACCACACTGAACTTTGAGAGGAAATCTGGGAGAACAGAAGTTGGCTTTGGTTTCCAGACGTGTGGTTTTGTGAATGGATTTGACCTGAGCTGTTTCCTTTACTAATATATCTCTACTGTTGAATGTTTTACCAGCTCAGTGTGACCTGGGATGCAAACACGGCGAGTGTGTCGGCCCCAACAAATGCAAGTGCTTTCCCGGATACACCGGAAAGACGTGTAGTCAAGGTTTGTGCCAGTGGTATCATAGTGTTTGTTAAGACTTTGAATTAGAGTTTATTTTTTAAGAATTTTGTTACATTTTTAGCAATTTTGTTGTGTGTTTTTGTCAATTTTATGTTTTATTTATTATTTGTTATATATATATATATTTTTTTTTTTTATACATTTTTGTATATTTCAGTTTATTTATTTATTTATTTAGTTATTTTATTACTTCAACTTAAAGTTTAAAAAAACATTTTTTTTTGTTATTTAAGTTAATGTTTATTTTATTTCAAGTAACTTTTTTTCCGTTAATAATAATAACCAATTCAATGCATGAGTGAACTGTGAATCAAACTGAATCGCGCAAACTTGATTGATTTATTTATGCAATCATTAAACAGCGGAAGGTCAATACATTGTGAGATTGCATGAGGTTTATATTTTAGCAAATGTACAGTACTAGGTCATCCATGCATACAGTAAATTCCCAGATTGTACGCAGTGTATATGCCATATACTGCAGAAATAATGATGTTCTGCTCATTAATGATCTCCTTCTGTCTCTGGGTTCAGATCTGAATGAGTGCGGTCTAAAGCCTCGGCCCTGTGAACATCGCTGTATGAACACCTTTGGTAGCTACATGTGCTACTGCTTAAACGGATACATGCTGATGCCTGATGGCTCCTGCGCAAGTGAGTGACAGAGTTTCAATATATTCAGATGTTTAAATCAATAGTTCAGCCAAAAAGTATTTACTCCAAAAAACTAATTCTTATGTTTTTCCTTAAAAAAACACAACTCTAGTCAATGTGACCTGAGCTCCATATTCATCAAATAATAACTTTGTGTTTTCATTTTTGGATGAATTATTGCTTTAATATGTTGTACTTTCTTTAAGAGTGAATTGTTATCAAAAACACTGTAAAAACTCAACTTTGAAGCAACCAGCCTCAGGACAATAAAGTTGTTCTGTGTTTTGAGCAGACATAATAAAAAAGGTTCCACAAACTCAAAAGTAATTATAATTTAAATTTTATAATTTAAAAGTTCAATAAATTACAATTTTGAAGTAAATAAAGAGTATTAATATTGCATATTATTGATGTTAACATTTCTTCTTTTGGGAGACTTTTCTGCTAAACAATTTAAGTTTTCTTTACGTGTATCAGTTCGTTTATATTTATTAGTTTATATCAATTGTGAGAAAAGCTTTTTTCCTCCACAAAATTAAAATAAAAACATCTAAATGCAACATTAATCTCAAAATTGTAACGTTACAAGTTTATTTCTCACAGTTTATATTTTTAATTTCTTAATAAAAAGTCACAATTGTTTAGGGGTTGAACGACTTCTGATTTTTTAAAGTCGACTTTTATGTGATGAAAGTCGAGTCGAAGTCGACTAGTAGCTGATGACATCATTAATGAACAAATAAGTCTGGAGCTGTGCATTGAAGTCGACTAGTCGATTAGTCGGTGCAACCCCTACAATTGTCAGATATAAAAAATGTTGTCATCTTAATAATTAAAGTTGGTCTGTGCTTTGAGCAACCATTAAAATAAGTTTAATTAGGTTAGTAAGCCTAATTTATGCATGTAGATATAATAAAGTAAGTTCTTATAGTGGATCCAAGTTCAATAAGATATAATTTTGACGTTAAATGGGTATTAATATTGCATATTATTAATGCAAATCTGATGTAAATCCACTAAATAGTTTGTTTGCTTAATTTGTGAATCAATTAGTTGCACAAACTCAAAAGGTGATATTATTTCTATGCACCAAAACATGTATATACAATTTATTGAATAAAAACTGATGAAATTCGTTTAGACACTAATCACCTGAATGATGACTGAAAAACATTAAATAGAGCTAAAACATCTAATTCTGATTAACAAGTATTTGCATGTGATATGTCCGCATGCTTTAACCAAAAACAAATGTTTCAAGTGCAATGGATTATGGGTGATCAAAGCTGCCCATTAGTTTGGCATAACAAGTGTTTAATAATTTCAGATGCTCACACTAAATGACCTAAAAGTTGACTTTATTTAACATTTTATGTAGGCTAATGTCAACTTTTGTACATTAGTTAATTCAATCAGCCTTCTAAATCTGAGTTTGTCTTGTATTAAAGTGAATTTTTGTGGATGTGTTTGACTGCAGACTCGAGGACGTGTTCTCTGGCTCACTGTCAGTACGGCTGTGAGGAGGTGCAGGGCGAGGTCCGCTGTCTCTGTCCGTCTCCTGGCCTGCAGCTGGGATCTGATGGGAAGACCTGTGTGGGTGAGAACAGCTCAATGACACCCACTCTTTTTTGTTTGTTTGTTTTCTATGACTGCGCCAAAAATCTGCTTCATTTCTTTTTCAATTACAAGTAAATTCCTAAATCAAGATAATTGAGACGCAAAATTACATAAAAGGTTAAGTCTTGTTTTCTGAAAAAATGTATCAACATCAAGTGAGGTTATGCTAAAACAAGAAAAACCATCTGGTTTTCCTTTGATTTAAATATATTTTTCTGACCCTATTGGCAATTTTTTTTACGTTTATGCTTAAAAAAAAAGAAAAAGAATGCTTTTTTTTTCTCTCTGAATTAAGTTTAATTTTCTGATCCCATTGGCAGATATTTTTTCTTTAAAAACTGTGTGATTTTTCTTTGCTTAAAGCAAGAAGAAACATTGGGTCAGAAAATAATCTTGTTTTCCCTTTGAATAAAGTTTATTGTTCTGGCATCAATAG